TCTGGTTGAATCTCAAACTCATCCAAACTGGTGTCTATGGCAGCCTACTAGGAACATTCACACAATAGGAGAGAGGGGCGGGAGCCAGGTACAGTAGCCCATATCTGTAATCCCAGTACTCTGAGGTTGACACAGGAGCTCGGCAGCGATCTTAAGGCGAGTCTGGGCTCCAGAGTGAGACTCTTGTCTCAAAAATCAAAACAAAGGAAGGAAAAAAGAAAGCCACAGAAAACAGACAAGGACAAGGAAAAGAACTGACACAAACAGACAAACAGAGAGGCAGAAAGGAGACAGTCCAGTCCCTATTTCCCGCAGTGGCCAGTTTGCCTGCAGTAGTTGATAGCATTGGTAATCTCCAGGTGAGCTCCCGGTAAATGCCACAAGACTGGCACACTCAGCAATCACCTGTTTCTCGGTCGTTTGTTTCTCCAGAGACTTTCCTTTTGACTCTCAGTGGAAAATTCCACCCCTTCATGGGTTTTTTTTTTTTTTAAGACTATAAATTCTGCAGCTTTATAACCTCAACTTTTCAAGGGGCTAAGGCAGAGCTCTAACTAAGTTCAAGGCCAGCCTGGGAAATTCACCAGGACTCCCTTTTCAAATAAAAGGAGAACAAGCTGAGAACCATGGCAGGGTGTTTGCCTGGCATATGCAAGGCCCTGGGGTTTAATACGGTGTACTGAGGGAGAACCAAGGGGCATCGATCTCCTGCCCCCTCCCCTCCGGTACGTGGATACTAACAGAATACAGGAGAAGCAACTATCAGAGAAACAGAACCAATGAGGAGTCAAGCTCAGACCTTTTCTGGAGTGTTTTACTGACCTGGGGATTCGGGGCCACACAGAGAAGGTGACAGGGTGCTAGTTCCACCCAGATCTCTTAGTCAGGGGTGTTTCCAATAATCTGAGGTGACAACTGAATAACCAAGCTCATTTCTACACCAATTTCTGTGGAGGGGTCCTCCCCACCCCCCAGGCCTCCTAGCTTGGAACCCAAGTCAAGTATCCGCTGCTGCTGCTGTGGGAAATCCATAGCTAGCTGTTCTCTGGAGGACTTAGTCTCGGCAAGTGGTTGTCTTGATTAACACACACACCTTGTAAGATATTAGACCAGAAAATCCATATCATCACAAGACACAGACACTGCTCCCAAGAGGAAACATCTCTTTCTCTCTCTCTCTCTCTCTCAATCAGGCCAGAAATCCAAGGACTCCAATATGACCTTTACTTTGGAATCATTCTGACAAGCCTTTCAAGCCGTGTTTAATGTCTCCATTGTAGATTCATAGAATTCTTTTATGTGCATTCTCTACTCATGTAATATATATACATACATATCTTTTTCCTTTTTTTTAATTTATTAAAGATTTCTGTCTCTTCCCCACCGCCGCCTCCCCTTTCCCTCCCCCTCCCTCGTCAGCCCAAAGAGCAATCAGGGTTCTCTGCCCTGTGGGAAGTCCAAGGACCACCCTCTTCCATCCAGGTCTCGTAAGGTGAGCATCCACATACATATCTTTTTCAAAGTCCTATGAATTACCCTCAGAGCAAGACTTTTTTCTTTTTCCCCTTACGGTTATATCCTACCATAGAAACATGAGCCTAGGTCCACTTTTAAGGAAAGTTCCATTCCCTCACTAACATGCAAATATTAACCCTTGACAATCCAGAAAAGCGGGAAGAAGTCTTGAGTAAGCGCTATCTCACAAGCAGATGTTTTTCTATGCCAGTCAAAGCTCAATCACTTGGAATGTAATTTGCTTTTGATCTTGAGCTCAAGAGTATTAATTCTGAACTGGGCAGAGGTGGCACAGGCCTTTAATCCCAACACTCGGGAGGCAGAGGCAGGTGGATCTCTGTGAGTTCGAGACCAGCCTGGTCTACAGAGCTAGTTCCAGGACAGGCTCCAAAGCCACAGAGAAACCCTGTCTCGAAAAACCAAAAAAAAAAAAAAACCAAA